GCCATAACTGTCTTCATAATAATATTTTAAGTCTTGGTGGTACTCCATCACCTAAGAATAAAAAATTCAACATCATAAATCTTGCATTTACATTTAAAATTAAAGTCTATCTATATTTTTATAGCCACATGATAATATATTATGTCAAGAGTAAATTCAATTTTTCCAAACTACTTGTCTAAGTCTGCTTCTCTGACCATATTACAGTAGGACCCCCCCTTCCCCTCCATATCCACAGGGCATTTATTCCAAGGACCTGCCATGGATACCAAAACCACGGGTAGTAGCGAACCCTATATATGTCATTTTTCATTTACATACATACCTATTATAAAGTTTAATTGATAAATTATGCACAATAAGTGGAGAATTATCACTTTTTCACTGATGGGAAGCACTTCATGACTTCTCTTAGGCTTTGAAGAACTTCCACCATCATTACTTTTGCACTCTGAGTCCATTATTAAGCAAAATTAAGGGTTATTTTCAGGCCACGGTAAACCATGGATAAGTGAAACCGCAGATACCAGACCCGCGGATATAGGGGTCCTACTGTATTCTGTTTTAATTGAGGCTCATGTTTCCATTTACCCTCACATCCTCCAACAGAGTACAGTATTTCAATAACACAATTACTGTATAGTAATGCCTTTAAAAAGTCCTCTCCTACATAAGCTTATTCACCACATCAATGCATGTTATGTTTCCCTTTAAGAAGTAAATAAATAACCATGGTCACATTATATGCAGTTGGCATATCCCATATACTTCTTCCAGATAATTTAGTTTAATGAACCATTAACACAAAACAAAAGCACTGCTTGTATTTTAAATACTGAGTCCCTCATGGCACAACAAGGCACTCACCTCAAAGTCATAGCTGGAGAAAGCAGAACACCAAGCACTCTTCCTAGATGGCCACCAAGCTGTTTCATAGCGGCATTCATCGTAAATCGATTCAATTTCTCCTACATGAGAGAGAGAGAGGGCAATAAAATAAGTGACTGTATTCAATTTAAGAAAAGAATCATCAATCCTCCCAATAATGAAATTAAAATTTAAATATATTTTTTCTTTTATGAGCACTACAGAAGTTACAGTGAATGTACATAATTTAATATATAATATGATACTAGAGTAAGCAAAGATGAAAGCCACAATTTATGCAGTATAGTGCAGTGCTTACATACTACTTAAATCTAGACCTAGCATACTATGTAAGACACTGAGTATCAGTATAACTCGTGTAAATCACTACAGTCACATGTACAATGAGACAGGTTGCAAATGATGATTTGGTTAAGTACAAATATATTACACAGAATTTAAAAATGTTCAATAATCTGCATTTTAAGAAGTGATTTAATTGAGGTAGTGAAATCAAGGCATGATAATTTACAGAATTAATGACTTTAACATTAATGCAAGGTTTAATGGCTACTTTTTAACATTATTATTAAAGATAATGGCAAATAGATAGGGACCATTAACTAGTTAATAGTTCAAGTCGGATCAAAAATGTCATCATAAGTTTCAGCCTCTTACTTGCGGGTTATTTGTGAATTGAATTTTTTCCTATAAGAAACAATGACGAAAGCATGAATTTTAGAACTACACCTACCATCCGACTTACGACCTGCTCGACTTACGACCACTCGACTTACGACCGTGTTTTTTATGCCAAATTTCTGGGAAATAAACAACTATTTGTGTTGTACACAGTGTTAATCCTAAACCTTACAGTATAAAATACAGTACTAACAACATAAAAAGTAAAGTAAAACATGAAATACCAAAATAAAACAATAAAATAAAGTCATTACAAAAATGTTTTGTTGATATTCAGTAGTAAAGTTCGACTTACGACCATTTCGACTTACGACCAGTTTCTTAGAACCGAACTCGGTCGTAAGTCGGATGGTAGGTGTAATTATGAAAGGCACTACACACAAAATGCTGATCAGAATAGTACCCAAAATACTAAATTTTAATAGCAACTGCTTATACATGGAAGACACTGGCATATTTCGATAATTTAAAGGCATATGACAGGGTAGATAGGGGCACAATGTGGCAGATGTTGCAAGTGTATGTAGGTTACTGAAAGCAGTGAAGAGTTTTTACGAGGATAGTGAGGCTCAGGTTAGAGTATGTAGGAGAGAGGGAGATTATTTCTCAGTAAAAGTAGGCCTTAGACAAGGATGTGTGATGTCACCGTGGTTGTTCAAAATATTTATAGATGGGGTTGTAAGAGAAGTGAATGTGAGGGACTTGGCAAGAGGTGTGGAGTTAAAAAATAAAGAATCAAACACAAAGTGGGAGTTGTCACAGCTGCTCTTTGCTGATGACACTGTGCTCTTGGAAGATTCTGAAGAGAAGTTGCAGGGGTTGGTGGATGAATTTGGTAGGGTATGTAAAAGAAGAAAATTAAAAGTGAATATAGAAAAGAGTAAGGTGATGAGGATAACAAAAAGATTAGGTGACGAAAGATTGGATATCAGATTGGAGGGATAGAGTATGGAGGAGGTGAATGTATTCAGATATTTAGGAGTGGATGTGTCAGCAGATGGGTCTATGAAGGATGAGGTGAATCACAGAACTGATAAGGGGAAAAGGGTGAGTGGTGCACTTAGGAGTCTGTGGAGACACAGAACTTTGTCCATAGAAGCAAAGAGGGGAATGTATGAGAGTATAGTTGTACCAACACTCTTGTCGGGTGTGAAGTATAGGTAATGAATGTTGCAATGAGGAGGAGGCAGTGGAGATGTCATGTCTGAAGGCAATGTGTGGTGTGAATATAATGCAGAGAATTTGTAGTTTGGAAATTAGGAGAAGGTGTGGGATTACCAAAACTATTATCCAGAGAGCTGAGGAGGGGTTGTTGAGGTGGTTCGGACATGTAAAGAGAATGGAACAAAACAAAATGACTTCGAGAATGTATAAATCTGTAGTGAAGGGAAGGCGGGGTAGGGGTTGGCCTAGAAAGGGTTGGAGGGAGGGGGTAAAGGAGGTTTTGTGTGCGAGGGGCTCGAACTTTCAGCAAGCATGCGTGAGTGTATTTGATAGGAGTGAATGGAGACAAATGGTTTTTAATACTTGACGTGCTGTTGGAGTGTGAGCAAAGTAACATTTATGAAGGGATTCAGGGAAACTGGCAGGTCAGACTTGAGTCTTGGAGATGGGAAATACAGTGTATGAACTCTGAAGGAGGGTGTTAATGGAAATTTTTTTTAAAAGTAGGTTAACATTGGGGGCCCCGTGTTTTAAAAAATTTTTTAAATTTAAGGTTTTTTTTTTGGCAAAGGGGGGTTAAAAAAAAACCCAAAATTTACATCCCCTGCTTGCAGGTCTTAAAATTTAAAATTGCATTTAAATTTGGTGGGGATGAAAAAAAAAATTTAAATTTAAGGGGGGGGTTTGAAAAAAAAATTAAAAAAAAATTTAATAAAAAAATGTTATTAAATTTAAAAAAAAAGGGGGAAAGGGGGTTTTGAAGGGGGGTGAACAAAAACCCCCATAAAAAAGGGGGGGCACGGCTTTAACACAGAATTTGTTCCTAAAGGGGGGTTTTAAAATTTTAACCAAACCTTTTTTTGGAAAAGTTTGAATAAAACTAATTCATTGGGGGTTTGTTAATAAAATCAAAATTGTTTTAAATTGGAAGTTTTCCCAAAACTTTTCCGGACTAATTTTATTTTGGGAAAGGTAAAAAATAAAAAAACCCTGTTTCAAAAAAGAAAATCTTTGGGGGGGGGGGTTTTTTAAAAAAGGATTTTTTACTAAAACTTTCAAACATCGTGGTTTTTTAAAATTTAATAAAAAATTTTTTCAACTGTTTTTTTTCCAAAAAAATTTTTGGGGTTTCAAAATCTCCTTATCGGAAAAAATAATTTGAAACCTTAAATTTTAATTTGCATTTTAAACTGTTGTAAAGCCCCCCTTTGGCAAGAGGAGGGAAAAATTTTTTTTTTTTTTCCCCCCCTCTTGGGGGAAACGCCAACTTTAATAAAAAAATAAATAATTAAAGCACACCTTTCCCCTTTCACAAGGTTTTTTAAACCACGCGGAAACAAATCATCGCTCACAAGGAGCATACAATAATGGAGTGGGTTTGTTCAACCATCTTGAATTTTTTTAATATCACCTTTTCACCATTTTTAACATTTCGCTATATTTTTTGAAACATATGTACTGTATATTGTAATAAAAAGAATAAGGGAAAACAGCTCTAATATACTTATTTTGGATGCAAATGGCAAAAGCCCATTGTAAATGAGTATGTCAATAAGTGAGGAGAACTGTACAATACACAAAAAGTGAAAATAAAAAAAAACTTATATCGTCAGTTGCGACTGTAACAAAACCCGGGGTAAGTGGGTGCATAACCCAAGTCGGGACTCACACATGACCACACTTGGAATTCTTCATTTTCTCAAAAATTTCTTTCCTTGACGTCTCGCCGTTTTTATCATTTACGTACCAAAGAGACAGGTTTTAGAACTAATTCCCCCGAAAACCAAAATTTAAAATTTAAAAATTAAGAGAAAAAGTAAAGTAGATTTTAGAGAGTAATATTTTCCCGACCTTGTTGCAAGAAATTTTTTTTTGTTAAACTACAATCTAAAAAAAAAATACTGAACGCTTTTTCCCAAAAAGACTGTCATTAGCTGACTGAGCACTTGGTGATACTGATTATGGGATCTTTCTGAAGAACCCAAAAATTTTGGGAAATTTAAATGGCTATATTAAAAGTTAAAATTTTAAAAAGGAATATTACTGAATGCAAACTAATAAATTCATTTCAAATATGATAAAAACTAACTTCAGCAGGAAAGCAAAATAAGCATCATAAATGCTCTGTATACACATTTCAAATTTCCATTTCTAAAAAAACTTGATGAATGCAATATAAAATTTTTTATTGTACACATGAATAAGTTTTAAGCAATTAAAAAAATGTTTCTTTTTCAATTTCAAAAATAAAATACTGTATCAAATATCTACTTAATCTCAAATGAAGTTGGGGTTATATGGTTGAGGAAATTCTTATTTCCAAAACTGCTCTTCTCCCAAACATGCCTCTGAGGACGTGATATGCACTCTGAACCAGTACGGTTTTTTACTGTAAAATCTACCTGTGGAACATTAAATCGTTTCGTAAATGTTACTGTAATGCGAGTATTAACTGGAAAAATAAGGAGCATTTTGCTGCAATGTGAACAAAGAAAAGGTGCTGTATATGTTAACACTTGTGGAGGTCATTAACCATAGGTAATTACTTACTATCTGCCATTCTTCCCATTAAGGTAGGGTGGTGCAATTAAAAAGGAAATACTGCCATTCATTCAACAGAATGTCTTGCCAAAAGTGCACAGATATCACAATTTTAAATGATCCTCCAAGCTGCAACAACCCTGACCAGAAGTGGGATGGCTCTTAAAACTGGCCCGGGCATCTGTCATCTTCAGTTGGCTCGGACCACTGCCAGTTGCGACACTGACTGATGACTGCTGAGGGTCAGAGGTGTGTTTTCACTGCTCAGCTAAGGTGCATTCCATTTCTGTTTCAATCTTTGTGCAGCAGCTATGACTTCAGTTGCTCATGAATTTTTTCAGCTATTTTCTTTTACCCAGCCCAGCGGCCCACCAGGCATTGCCTAAATGCCTCTATGGCCAGAAACTGGTTTTGCCACGTTCAGAATTCAAGTCTAACTAACCAGTTCCCCTGAACTCCTTAAAAAATGTAACTTTGCTCTCACTCCAACAGCATGTCAAGCCATAAAAACCACTAGTCTTTACTCACTCTAATAAAACACACTCACATAAGTCTGCTGGATGCTCAAGCCTCTAGCACTCAAAACCTTTACTCCCTGCCATCAACCCTTCCTAGAAGGACCCCTACCTCTCCTGCTGACTGCAGATTTATATACCCTCCAAGTCATCCTATTCTGTTCCATCTTCTCCAAATGCCGAAACCTCCTCAACAACGCTACCTCAGCCTTCTTAATTATACCTCTGGTAACCCTACACCATTTCTATGCTCCAAATACTCTGCACAAGATTTGCACCACAAAATGCTTACCAACATGACATCACAACAGCCTTTAGCCTCCTGGCTGCAACATTTAAAGCCCATCCCTCTCATCCATTTACAGATGCTGATACCACTTCACTTCCTATTTATATCTCTATAGATAAACTTCTTCATTTCTGTAGATGCTTTTGCAAACCACCCATCTTTTTTGCCCTTCATCCATTCTTTGGTTCATTTCGACTTCCACAGACCTCTCCCAAATATCTTCAAACAAAAGAAATTTATATTAATACCGATGGTCCTTATATACAGTATACATAGCAGTAAGAGTTAATGTTTTCAATGTAGAGACTGTTTAAACTTTTGAAAAGAGGGGGTGTGCGTTGTCTGGAACCTAATTATGTGATTATTCTAAGTGTAGCATTTTGTTGGGTTACCATCGGTGTTAAGCAATTTTCTACTGTTGAACCCCAGACATAAGTACAGTAGGGCCCGCTTTACGGTGTTTCGCTTTAAGGCGTTCCGCTAATACAGTCATTTCAAATTATGACCAAAATTCTCTATATGGCTCCCCCCACCTGACTTTCTAATACGGTCACCATGCCCCAACTGGTTCGTTTACATTCTCTGTGAGATCCATAAGCATTAAGTCTCTCCATTATGTCTGGAAAGTCCAAAATTTCAAGTGTTTTTAAAAGTTATTTCATATTTTATATCTACTCTGATAATTATACTTATGTATACCTGTACCTAAATAAACTTACACACTGTGCTGGCGTACAGGTACATATTAAAATCAGTAAGAGTGTCTTATGTCTCACGACACCATATTAGTAATGCTAATAATAATAATAATAATAATAATAATCACCGAGTCTCATTTAATGTCGTATATTACGTTAATATACATATTTTCATTAATCCATCTATGATATTTTTTCAAAATTATATAATAAACATGATACACAACATATAAAGATGATAAATACACTCCACAGTAGAATAAATAAACATAAATACGAGATGTGGGAGCAAGACGCCTTGTACGAGTGACACCACATCAGTATTAATAATAATAATCACCGAATCTCATTAAATGTCGTATATTACGTTAATATATGGGTGTGAAGCATGGCTGATGAATGCTGCAGTGAGGAGAAGGCTGGAGGCAGTGGAGATGTCATGTCTGAGGGCAATGTGTGGTGTGAATATAATGCAGAGAATTCGTAGTTTGGAAGTTAGGAGGAGGTGCGGGATTACCAAAACTGTTGTCCAGAGGGCTGAGGAAGGGTTGTTGAGGTGGTTCGGACATGTAGAGAGAATGGAGCGAAACAGAGTGACTTCAAGAGTGTACCAGTCTGTAGTGGAAGGAAGGCGGGGTAGGGGTCGGCCTAGGAAAGGTTGGAGGGAGGGGGTAAAGGAGGTTTTGTGTGCGAGGGGCTTGGACTTCCAGCAGGCATGCGTGAGCGTGTTTCATAGGAGTGAATGGAGACAAATGGTTTTTAATACTTGATGTGCTGTTGGAGTGTGAGCAAAGTAACATTTATGAAGGGGTTCAGAGAAACCGGCAGGCCGGACTTGAGTTCTGGAGATGGGAAGTACAGTGCCTGCACTCTGAAGGAGGGGTGTTAATGTTGCAGTTTAAAAACTGTAGTGTAAAGCACCCTTCTGGCAAGACAGTAATGGAGTGAATGATGGTGAAAGTTTTTCTTTTTCGGGCCACCCTGCCTTGGTGGGAATCGGCCAGTGTGATAATAAAAAAAAATACAAATATTACGTTAATATATACTACATATGTATTTTCATTAATCCATCTATGATATTTTTTCAAAATTATATAATAAACATGATGCATAACATATAAAGATGGTAAATACACCCCACAGTAAAATAAATAAACTTAAATATGAGATGTGGGAGCCAGACTTGTACGAGTGACTGCAAGAATAACATTTTCTCTAGTCCAACAAAAGAGAAAATGTGTTACTGGGGGTAACTGTAGAAAATTATTCCTTTCGTATGTAAGTTTATTCAGGTATACACAAATACAATTACATAGATTATCATACATAACAGCATATGTGTAGAGAACCTAGGATAACCCAAAAAAGTCAGACAGAGTGACTTATTTCCATTGCCTTCACTCAGAGCATCATTTCTTCTAAAAATGGTGTTACATGAGAATGGGAGTGTTTTTCTTTCTTTATTCTACCGTATCAATGTAGAGACAATTTGTACACAAACCAGACATGTACACTTTGTTTGTTTACAAAACTTGCGTTCACCTGGTTTGTTTATATAACTCTGTGCCTGTCCTCCCTCATGTGCTCATTCTCTCTCTCTATCTCTCTCATTTATTTGTTTTATCTCGTTTACTCACCTCTGACCCTACATTAAGACTACAAATATTTTAAAGTAATGAGTGAACTGTATATGCATTTTATCACTCTGGGATGCTTAAATGTTATAGAATATTATGTGGGGGTGGGGTGGCCTCGTATGGTAGCCCGGCTGGCTACCATACATACCACACTTGATTTCTTACAATAAATACTTGTCTCACCATAGATTAAGACTACAAATATTTTAAAGTAATGAGTGAACTGTATATGCATTTTATCGCTCTGGGATGCTTAAATGTTATAGAATATTATGTGGGGGTGGGGTGGCCTCGTATGGTAGCCCGGCTGGCTACCATACATACCACACTTGATTTCTTACAATAAATACTACTTGTCTCACCATAGATTAAGTCTACAAATATTTTAAGGTAAGTAATGAGTGTATTATATGTGTATTTTACTTTTTTATTGTTTTTTAATGCCTAGTTCTATTGCTAACTTAATATACATTAGTGTAAATTTGTTATCTGTATTTATATGTATTTATAAGTGGAAAACAAGGGGTGTTCCACTTTATGGAGATTTCCACTTTACGGCAGTAGCCTGGAACCTAACTTGCCGTATAAGTGGGGCCCTACTGTACCACAAGTGAGGTAAGGATAGATTAGAGAGTAATATAGTTTGAGTAAGAATGTTTGAGATATGTATTTTAGAAAAAATGCCCAGTTTTGGAGACTTTAGATACATGCTATCTGTTTAGATACATGCTATCTGTTTCCCAATGAGGTAGGGTGACCCCAAAAAAGAGAAAGCCCAATTACTGGAAGTGTGAGTTGAATTTTTAATTGCTGTCAAGGTGTATACCTAAGAATTTTTCCCCAGTTTTCTTTGTCAATGAGTGTATTTTTACTTTATTTACTTTTGTTTATACTACATACATTCACTTCCTCAAAACTCTCTCCCTCCAATCTGACATCTAACCTTTCATTTTTATGATACATGCATTATTAAAATAACACTGGGAAGTGCTAAATCTAAAAGGGATCATAGAGCACCTGGGAAGTTTGGGTAATTAGGTTTGATTTTCTGAATGGAAAGACAGCACAGTAACTTGAATCAACAAAGCACAAGTGTTACTCAAGTCAGATAAGATAGATAAGACGAGGTTTATTTCTTTGTAAAGGTTATGTTTAATTACAATTTTGGTTTGCTAAGTGCAAAGAAAGCCACTATCATGCCGGGGCATTTGGGCAGACTAATCCTAATACATGTACATAATAACTACTTAAACTAGACGAGATAATAGTACATAGTAATTACTTAAAACTAGACAAGAAATAGTGATAAAGTGAACAACATGGTGAACAACTTTAATGATACACATAGATGACAATGCTACAAATGAGAGTAGAAGTCATTTTGTAACTTGTTACAAAATGACAGATGAGAAATCTCATTGAAATATGGTATAAATTGCAAATGAGAACTACTCTAAAGGGTGGATGGGGATGTTGCAGTCAGAGGGTAATCGCAGATGGTGACATCAGAACATTCTGGCAAGACATCAGCTGAATGATTGGTAAATGTGTTTCCATCTTCAAGTCACTCTGCCTTGACAGGAGATGGCAGATAAGGTAAGAAAATTAAAAAGATGAAAGATTTATAAAGCTTGTAAAGATGTGTTCTTTAATTTTTACCTTGAACCTGGCAGGATCATACGTGACATTGTAAAGGTGTGGGAACATGTCTCTCCAGTACTCGCCAATGGAAAAAAGCTCATCATATCCTATCTCGTGCAGTTGTTCCTTGTCTCGTGGACCATAGGGAGGAAACCAACTACCTAGCTGGCTTAAATCTTCTTCATTTAAACAACCTGTTAATTGAAAGCATTAAAAAGAGTTACTCCAAGTCTTGTAAAGGAGAATAAATTGAGTATAAGATGTGCGTGATGTATTATTCCAACCTTCTTTGTGTGTAAATGAAACTAATTTTCCAATATACTTTTAAAGAAAGAAATAAACAATGAATAGATGACCTACACAATATTTTAAGGAAAGGAAAGAATGAGCATTAGCCAACACTTCATCACCTGTTTCCCAATCTTACTGGGTGAGAAGGAATATACATGGAATAGATGGAAAAGTATTGGATAAAAAAAATTTTAGGATATAAAAATATATAATAAATATCTACTCTAAGGAAACATTATTATTTTTTTTTTTTATTATCACACTGGCCGATTCCCACCAAGGCAGGGTGGCCCGAAAAAGAAAAACTTTCACCATCATTCACTCCATCACTGTCTTGCCAGAAGGGTGCTTTACACTACAGTTTTTAAACTGCAACATTAACACCCCTCCTTCAGAGTGCAGGCACTGTACTTCCCATCTCCAGGACTCAAGTCCGGCCTGCCGGTTTCCCTGAACCCCTTCATAAATGTTACTTTGCTCACACTCCAACAGTACGTCAAGTATTAAAAACCATTCGTCTCCATTCACTCCTATCAAACACGCTCACGCATGCCTGCTGGAAGTCCAAGCCCCTCGCACACAAAACCTCCTTTACCCCCTCCCTCCAACCTTTCCTAGGCCGGACCCCTACCCCGCCTTCCTTCCACTACAGACTGATACACTCTTGAAGTCATTCTGTTTCGCTCCATTCTCTCTACATGTCCGAACCACCTCAACAACCCTTCCTCAGCCCTCTGGACAACAGTTTTGGTAATCCCGCACCTCCTCCTAACTTCCAAACTACGAATTCTCTGCATTATATTCACACCACACATTGCCCTCAGACATGACATCTCCACTGCCTCCAGCCTTCTCCTCGCTGCAACATTCATCACCCATGCTTCACACCCATATAAAGAGTGTTGGTAAAACTATACTCTCAAACATTCCCCTCTTTGCCTCCAAGGACAAAGTTCTTTGTCTCCACAGACTCCTAAGTGCACCACTCACCCTTTTCCCCTCATCAATTCTATGATTCACCTCATCCTTCATAGACCCATCCACTGACACGTCCACTCCCAAATATCTGAATACATTCACCTCCTCCATACTCTCTCCCTCCAATCTGATATCCAATCTTTCATCACCTAATATTTTTGTTATCCTCATAACCTTACTCTTTCCTGTATTCACTTTTAATTTTCTTCTTTTGCACACCCTACCAAATTCATCCACCAATCTCTGCAACTTCTCTTCAGAATCTCCCAAGAGCACAGTGTCATCAGCAAAGAGCAACTGTGACAACTCCCACTTTATGTGTGATTCTTTATCTTTTAACTCCACGCCTCTTGTCAAGACCCTCGCATTTACTTCTCTTACAACCCCATCTATAAATATATTAAACAACCACGGTGACATCACACATCCTTGTCTTAGGCCTACTTTTACTGGGAAATAATTTCCCTCTTTCCTATGTACTCTAACTTGAGCCTCACTATCCTCGTAAAAACTCTTCACTGCTTTCAGTAACCTACCTCCTACACCATACACCTGCAACATCTGCCACATTGCCCCCCTATCCACCCTGTCATACGCCTTTTCCAAATCCATAAATGCCACAAAGACCTCTTTAGCCTTATCTAAATACTGTTCACTTATATGTTTCACTGTAAACACCTGGTCCACACACCCCCTACCTTTCCTAAAGCCTCCTTGTTCATCTGCTATCCTATTCTCAGTCTTACTTTTAATTCTTTCAATAATAACTCTACCATACACTTTATATACTGTACGTATATCCATCAAGTAAATGAAGTTCATTAGTTGTTACAAATGATATATCAGTAAAATCTTTCAATTCACAATAATTTCTACATTCATCTAAATTTCACAGTAACAAAAAATATACTTCCCAGTGAATATTTAATTACATACCAGGTATCAGGTCGGCCGAAAACTGATTTGTACGAAAACTGAAGTAATATTTCCCATACGAAATAATGTAAATCCAATTAATCCATTCCAGACACCCAAAAATATTAACAAAAAATACATTTTATAGAGTAACTATAGTTTTACACGCAGAAAACAATGAGAAATAAATATAAATGACTAATGAAATGGATAAATGAACATTTAACTCACTTTACCTTTATTGAAGACTCTGGTTAGCTCCTCCCTGTGGTTGTCCACCAACTCTTCCACACCCTGGCCACTCACCTCCAACCCCATGGACTTCCCCAAAGACACAATAGATTCCACAACAGGCGTAGGGTCGTCAGGGTCTGCCTCAAACCCTTCAAAATCCTTCTGGAGGACACATTCTAGCTCACTGAATGAGTAACAAAGGCAGACTGAGTCACGAACGTATGAGCGGCTGCATCCCGTGGGCAGGCAGACACGTCCCACAGGCAGGTGGACACGTCTGGTACAGACGATTTCCAAGTGGATGTACAAAAACGGGGAAAATTTCACCGAAAAAAGTGGTCGAAAACTGAATTGTATGATAATCAGACCAGGCAAAGACAGGGGTTCCACTGTATATCAAATATACCATATAGTGCAGAGTTGTACAATGGACACACATCATTTTAAAATACAGTACCTCTTCCCTGCCGATGATTAACTTCTATTTGCTGGCTCAAACTTGGCAATACATTCATCATCCTGCCCATATCAGTCTGTGTTGGAAAGCGTGTCCCATGACGTGTGAGGAGCCACATTTGCTGAGCTGTACATCCCCACACTGATAATACAACAAATTTAGAGTGCAAACCAAATCACATAAATTTGAAAACAAATCAGATAATGTTCAGTTGCCTTTCCATACTAACATTGAAAAATATTTTTACTTTTGTTTACACACATCACCCAGTGATAGCATATTTAATTTCTACAAGCTGTTCTTATGATTAATTGAAATCTATTAATACATCCCAAAAATTACTTATAAACCACAATACTGTATACACACTGTATGTACAATACAATTTTTGTTTATGTGGTACAAATAATGTAATTTACATGTAATAAAACACTGGTAGACACAAGAGAAAGCCAATAATTATGCAATGCATTTTAGGCAAACTAATTCTAATGCTTGTTACCTAAGACTTAGACTATTAAGTAGGACATTGTATACAGTTAACTACAATTACCAGTACAGTGGAACCTCAGTACTCAAACAGCTCCCTACTCAAACAAAGCTCGGCACTTGACCAAACAAACATGACCTGCCAGAACTTCGCTGTAAACTATTTCGGGTTTCCTTGCATTTTTTGGTGTTTGTTTTTTATATTATTTGTAGAAATAAGTCACCATGGGGCCTACAAAGATTAGTGATAACAGCCAACCAAAAAAGAAAATTGGTTGGGAAGAATTCGTTCAATACTCAAATGGATCAGCACTTGAACAGCCTTCTGGAATGAATTAAGTCTGAGTAATGAGGTACCACTATACAATAAGAAAGATAGCTAATGAACAAATGGTCAATTACAATAGTATTACATATTTCAAACTGATTCAATGATCTTCAGTTTTGTGGAATGACTGAATAGAGATGGTGAAGATATAGCAAGTTATTTAGTTACAACTGAAATACAATGGAACAAGATGTACGTATTACCAATTATGTATGGGAGTTGAAGGAAGGCTGGAAGGAGAACAGGGACAGAATTATATACAAAAAAACACGCACACAGGAGTGAGAAGCTTACAATGATGTTTCAGTCCAACTTGGACCATTTACAAAGTCACACTACCACAAGAGAATGAAGAGGCCAGTATGTACAAGCGAGAGGGGACAAGGATGGGACCAAGACAGGTAGTAAAAGTAGTAGGTCTTTAGGGACATAACTGGATGAAAGCTGGTTTTGTATAACATAATATATTGCCATCTCAGTTACATTAGGGAGATACGATGCTTTTTAACAATAACTTTGAATTGACTTGCAGACAGGAGGCCTTTTCAATACTTCAGGCAGGAAATTCCAGATCTTAGGGCCTTTTATGCACGTCGAGTTTTTACACATGTTGAGTCAGACACGGGATATCATACCAGACAACACACAGTAGGAATAGTAGTATGAGTGCATATTTTGTATATTAAGTAAGCTCAAACTTTTAAAGAGTAGAGGAGTGTGTTGCCTGGCACTGAAATGGGTGGTAGTCTGCAAAGAAGCTTTTGTTGACATAGATTCCCAGGAAAATTCGATAGGTGAGGTAAGGATACATTAGAGAGTAGTACAATGTAAATAGTACTGTTTGAGGTACACAGTAACATATCTCGTAGAGGATGCCTACTGTTTTGGAGACCTTGGTTATGTTCTGAAAGTTGCAGTCAAGGAGTAGACCTACAAATTTACCCTCAGTGTGTCTTACAATGGGAGAACCATTGATCATTATTATTAGCTGGATATTTGAAGCAGTTTCCAAACATCATGTGGTAGGTTTTGTCACTATTAAGGGTGAGTTTGTTGGTAGTCATCCATCAAGATATTTTTAGGAGCTCATCATTAACAGTGTCGTTGAGAGAAGTCGGATTTGAGTGGAAGATGACAAAAGTTCTGTCATCTGTGAACAGAACAGGCTCAAGGAGACGAGGTGCATTGGGTAGATTACTGATGTATACGAGGGAGAGCAAAGAGCCAAGAACACTGTCCTGAAGCACTCCTATGTCAACAGGCCAAATTGACAAGGTTACACCAGTGATGGAGACATAGGTATACAAGATTAAGATGCAGCAGCTATTCAATAATGAAGCTGTTCAGAAGAGGTAGACTCAAATATATTTAATATAATTACAGGAATAAAAAATTCATGCTGTGATTTCAGATCAAGTTGTAATAAACAACTGTCAATGAATAGGTAGTAGGTTGGTAGGCAGCAACCACCCAGGGAAGTACTACCGTCCTGCCAGATGACTGTGAAACAGAAACCTGTAACTGTTTTGCATGATGGTAGGATTGCTGGTTTCTATTTCTGCCTCATAAACATGCTAGATAACAGGGATATCTTGTTACTCCTACTTACACTTTGGTCACACTTCACAGACACGCACATGCATATATATATATACATACATCTAGGTTTTTCTCCTTTTTCTAAATAGCTCTTGTTCCTCTTTTTTTCCTCTATTGTCCATGGGGAAGTGGAAAAGAATCTTTCCTCCGTAAGCCATGCGTGTCGTATGAGGCGACTAAAATGCCGGGAGCAATGGGCTAGTAACCCCTTCTCCTGTAGACATTTACTAAAAAAGAGAAGAAGAAAAACTTTATAAAACTGGGATGCTTAAATGTGCGTGGATGTAGTGCAGATGACAAGAAACAGATGATTGCTGATGTTATGAATGAAAAGAAGTTGGATGTCCTGGCCCTAAGCGAAACAAAGCTGAAGGGGGTGGGGGAAAGTTTCGGTGGGGGGAAATAAATGGGATTAAATCGGGAGTATCTGAGAGAGTTAGAGCAAGGAAGGGGTAGCAGTAATGTTGAATGATCAGTTATGGAAGGAGAAAAGAGAATATGAATGTGTAAATGCAAGAATTATGTGGATAAAGTAAAGGTTGGATGCGAGAAGTGGGTCATAATAAGCGTGTATGCACCTGGAGAAGAGAGGAATGCAGAGGAGAGAGAGAGATTTTTGGGAGATGTTAAGTAAATGTATGGAACCTTTGAACCAAGTGAGAGGGGAAATTGTGGTAGGGGACCTGAATGCTAAAGTAGGAGAAATTTTTTAGAGAGGGTGTGGGTAGGTAAGTTTGGGGTGCCAGGTGTAAATGATAATGGGAGCCCTTTGATTGAACTTTGGTATAGAAAGGGGTTTAGTTATAGGTAATACATATTTTAAAAAAAAGAGGATAAATAAGTATACAAGATATGATGTAGGACGAAATGACAGTAGTTTGTTTGGATTATGTATTGGTAGATAAAAGACTGTTGAGTAGACTTCAGGATGTACATGTTTATAGAGGGGCCACAGATATATCAGATCACTTTCTAGTTGTAGCTACACTAAGAGTAAAAGGTAGATGGGATACAAGGAGAATAGAAGCATCAGGGAAGAGAGAGGTGAAGGTTTATAAACTAAAAGAGGAGGCAGTTAGGGTAAGATAAAAAAGCTATTGGAGGATAGATGGCTAATGAGAGCATAGGCAATGGGGTCGAAGAGGTAGGGGGTAGGTTTAAAAATGTAGTGTTAGAGTGTTCAGCAGAAGTTTGTGGTTACAGGAAAGTGGGTGTGGGAGGGAAGAGGAGCAATTGGTGGAATGATGATGTGAAGAGAGTAGTAAGGGAGAAAAAGTTAGCATATGAAAAGTTTTTACAAAGTAGAAGTGATGCACGGAGGGAAGAGTATATGGGGAAAAAGAGAAAGGTTAAGAGAGTGGTGAAGCAATGTAAAAAGAAGCAAATGAGAGAGTGGGTGAGATGTTATCAACAAATTTTGTTGAAAATAAGAAAAAGTTTTGGAGTGAGATTAACAAGTTAAAAAAGCCTAGAGAACAAATGGATTTGTCAGTTAAAAATAGGAGAGGAGAGTTATTAAATGGAGAGTTAGAGGTATTGGGAAGATGGAGGGAATATTTTTAGGAATTGTTAAATGTTGATGAAGATAGGGAAGCTGTGATTTCGTGTATAGGGCAAGGAGGAACAACATCTTGTTGGAGTGAGGAAGAGCCAGTTGTGAGTGTGGGGGAAGTTCGTGAGGCAGTAGGTAAAATGAAAGGGGGTAAGGCAGCCGGGATTGATGGGATAAAGATAAAAAATGTTAAAAGCAGGTGGGATATAGTTTTGGAGTGGTTGGTGCAATTATTTAATAAATGTATGGAAGAGGGTAAGGTACCTAGGATTGGCAGAAGCTGCATAGTTCCTTTGTAATAAAGGCAAAGGGGATAAAAGAGAGTGCAAAAATTATAGGGGGATAAGTCTGTTGAGTATACCTGGCAAAGTGTATGGTAGAGTTATTATTGAAAGAATTAAAGAGTAAGACGGAGAATAGGATTTGCAGATGAACAAGGAGGCTTTAGGAAAGGTAGGGGTTGTTTGGAAACCCGGTGTTTACAGTGAAACATATAAGTGAACAGTATTAGATTTAAAGGGTAAAGAGGTCTTTGTGGCATTTATGGATTTGGAAAAGGGTATGACAGGGTGGATAGGGGGGCAATGTGGCAGATGTTTGCAGGTGTATGGTGTAGGAGGTAGGTTACTGAAAGCAGTGAAGAGTTTTTACGAGGATAGTGAGGCTCAAGTTAGAGTATGTAGGAAAGAGGGAAATTATTTCCCAGTAAAAGTAGGCCTTAGACAAGGATGTGTGATGTCACCATGGTTGTTTATATATTTATAGATGGGGTTGTAAGAGAAGTAAAAGCGAGGGTTTTGGCAAGAGGCGTGGAGTTAAAAGATAAAGAATCACAATAAAATGGGAGTTGTCACAGTTGCCTTTTCTGATGATACTGTGCTCTTGGAAATTCTGAAGAGAAGTTGCAGAGATTGGTGGATGAATTTGGTAGGGTGTGCAAAAGAAGAAAATTGAAAGTGAATACAGGAAAGAGTAAGGTTATGAGGATAACAAAAATATTAGGTGATGAAAGATTGGATATCAGATTGGAGGGAGAGAGTATGAAGGAGGTGAATGTATTCAGATATTTGGGAGTTGACATGTCAGCGGATGGGTCTATGAAAGATGAGGTGAATCATAGAATTGATGAGGGGAAAAGGGTGAGTGGTGCACTTAGGAGTCTGTGGAGACAAAGAACTTTGTCCTTGGAGGCAAAGAGGGGAATGTATGAGAGTATAGTTTTACCAACGCTCTTATATGGGTGTGAAGCATGGGTGATGAATGTTGCAGCAAGGAGAAGGCTGGAGGCAGTGGAGATGTCATGTCTGAGAGCAATGTGTGGTGTGAATATAATGCAGAGAGTTCGTAGTTTGGAAGTTAGGAGGAGGTGTTGGGATTACCAAAACTGTTGTCCAGAGGGCGGAGGAAGGGTTGTTGAGGTTTGGGTTTGGACATGTGGAGAGAATGGAACGAAACAGAATAACTTCAAGAGTGTATCAGTCTGTAATGGAAGGAAGGCGGGGTAGGGGTCGGCTAGGAAAGGTTGGAGGGAGGGGGTAAAGGAGGTTTTGTGTGCGAGGGGCTTGGACTTCCAGCAGGCATGCGTGAGCATGTTTGATAGGAGTGAATGGAGACAAATGGTTTTTAATACTTGACGTGCTGTTGGAGTGTGAGCAAAGTAACATTTATGAAGGGGTTCAGGGAAACCGGCAGGCCGGACTTGAGTCCTGGAGATGGGAAGTACAGTGCCTGCACTCTGAAGGAGGGGTGTTAATGTTGCAGTTTAAAAACTGTAATGTAAAGCACCCTTCTGGCAAGACAGTGATGGAGTGAATGATGGTGAAAGTTTTTCTTTTTCGGGCCACCCTGCCTTGGTGGGAATCGGCCAGTGTGATAATAAAATAAATAAAATAAACAATGAATAAACAGAGGGATGGCTGGGAGGCTCAAACTGTTAATTTACAGACTGTGGTCAAGCCCCCCATCTATCATTCTGTTTACTCATTTTACACTATGTTACACATAGTGTGAGATTTTTTAATGTTTGCAGCTAAGCAGCAGAGGCTTTTGAAAGCAAGGCCCATTCCAGGAAGATGGGAACAGAGTACCTGCACATGCTAATAGTCGCATCAATCTTGCCCAGTTACCATACACCAGCATTGAAAATTTGAAGCTAATCAGATGAGGTCATTCCATGTTATGACTGAAATAAAATCAGAAACTTGAAGGAAGCAAAACAAAAAACAAAAAATTTCCAGGCAACCAATTCAAAGACTCCTACAGGGATAAATAATACATAATTATTTTACCTTCTTTTTTAAAATTTTCCCAGTGGCTTTCGTCCTTTTCCGCATTAAAATATGCAGTTTTGCTGGACAGACGGTTAACGGGAGTGTCTTCTTCAACACCTTTGCATATATGTGATGTTGAGCAGTAGCAACAACAGATGAGAGAGAAAAATGCAGCCACTAGTGTAAGTCTCCAGCACATCCTACTGTGGATAATGTGCATCAACCTGAAGATGCACATTTTATCTTATATTTATAAAGGAAACAGAAAAACAGAGGCATAAATGACATCAGACACACTGATAGAAAATTCAAGATACAAATACTGTATAGTACAATACATACTTCTAATATACTACAACATGGGTAACTACTCTGTCTTTGTCACTGTTACCATTAATTATCTTAACAGATACTATGTCAATATGGCACAATATACGGTTTATGGCATTTTATTAAGTAGACGTTTCGACCACCAGAGATTTCATCAAGTGAGGAGCACTAAACCCACAGGGTTCCTCAATTGATAAAGTCCCTGGCAGACAAAACATCCTCTCAATAAACTGCCATAATCCACATACTATGTCTTATTAACATACATTAAGTTCAAGTCTTTATTTCAAAATTACTGTATATAAAAACATACAATAAGCTGAAGGCCCACAAGATGCACATTTCAGTAAAAAACTTAATCTAGCCTTAAAATCTACATAACATTTTTTTTTGGTCAGTATATACCCCAGAAATACAGTCACAGCAATTCATTCAATAAAGGCCAATATCTGTAGCCAATGGAGAAGGTTATGCACCCACATAACATTACACTTCACGCACTCATAAATAACAATACACACACGCACTCATCATCATCAGAAATAAAACACTAAGTGAAGTAGCAACTATTGCCTGGTGCCCCAACTCAGCCCTCAAGGAAGGAGAGACATATACACTGAAACATTATAGGAAAAAATTTGTCAGTGATACCCACATCAGACACAGATCATTTTCTTGTTCAGGATACATCAGATCACAAACCAGTTAGACCCAAACATTCCAGATCAAACCATACTACAGGTGGGGTCAGAACCTGCGATCAGAGAATCACAAAACTCCAGACCATCACATTAGCCACTGAACTAGCTAGCTACGATAAGATTCATCCAACTAGGTATATTTTGTCTGTAAAAACTTGCATTTGTGGTCACAGTGGTGCCTATGCTAACCTTCCTATGGTGTAGCACTATACCTAGTTGGATGAATCTTATCAAAGCTAGCTGGTCCAGTGGCTAAAACGATGGTCTGGAGTTTTGTGACTCTCTGATCGTGAGTTCAAACCCCAACTGTAGTATGGTTTGTTTGCAATCATGTCATTAAAATTTCATGAGTCATGTCAGATCACACACCACAAAGACCCAAACATGTCAGATCACACACAGGCCAGGAGCTGAAGCTGTGATTCGACCCCTGCAACTACAAACAGGTGAGCACACCATAAAGACCCAAGCATGTCAGGAAGTAAGTTTATTGAGGTACAGGTACACATAATTACAATTATCACACACAGTTCAACATATGTAAATTACCTAGGATAACCCAAAAACAAGCCAGACAATGTGACTTATTCCCATTGGGGTCCTTGTTATATCTTAATATTTGAAGCCTGGCAGTAAGATACAGTAAAAATCAATCATGATTATAACCTTAAGAATTAAAACATCTAAGTAACTCAACTGTGTGAACAATTAGCTGAAGTTAAAAGGAGAACTATTATTATTATTATTATTATTATTATTATTATTATTATTATTATTATTATTAACCGAGTTGTTCACATGAACATTAAAGACAGGATTGTCTTATAATAATTACCTGGAGTTTACCTGGCTGCACCAATAGAAATAAGTCACTGGCTTTTTTTTTTTTTTTGGAGGGGGCGTTATCCTAGATACCTGGAGTTTACCTGGAGAGAGTTCCGGGGGTCAACGCCCCCGCGGCCTGGTCTGTGACCAGGCCTCCTGGTGGATCAGAGCCTGATCAACCAGGCTGTTACTGCTGGCTGCACACAATCCAACGTCCGAGCCACAGCCCGGCTAGTCAGGTACCGACTTTAGGTGTTTGTCCAGTACCTGTACCTAAATAAGCTTATTTATTTACAAGGAATCACTCTCCTGCCTTCCTGTAGCTTCATTAGGTACCTTTCAGCTCTCCTGAACTGGTTCATGCTAGGACTGGCTCTGACAAGTGCAGGCAATCCCTTCTACTCTATCATTGCTGTTATAATGAAAGGTGTTTGATGTCAGCAGAATTAATAATGCAAGTTGTTTTGTGTGAATATGGTTAAAAAAAAAAAAAGCACATTCCACTTACACATATGTTAGGGTGTGACACACTTGTAATCACTTAAAACGTGTGCAGTTGTACGTATAATTTACTTCCTTCTTTCTTTGTTAGGTTTATCAGGGCCACTGACAGCATAAGCCGTAGTATAATTTACTGTACTTCAATAAACTTACCGAACTCAACTATTGTTGTTAAGGGCCTTCTTGGCTCTGGTGTTGAGGGTTTCCACAACTCTGATTGTAAGGGCCTCTACTGCTCAAGGTTAAAGGACCTCAAAGACTGATTATAAGGGCCTCCACAGCTCGTTTCAAAGAAGACCTCCACAGCACCGTTTCAAGGGCCTCCACAGCACCGTTTCAAGGGCCTCCACAGCACCGTTTCAAGGGCCTCCACAGTACCATTTCAAGGGCCTCCACAGCACCGTTTCAAGGGCCTCCACAGCACCGTTTCAAGTAAGTAAGTTTATTCAGGTATACACAAATACAGTTACATGGAATTATCATACACAGCAGCATATGTGTAGAGAACCTAGGATAACCCAAAAAAGTCAAACAGAGTGACTTATTTCCATTGGGGCCTCCACAACACCGTTTCAAGAGCATCCACAGCACCATTTCAAGGGCCTCCACAGCATGTTTCAAAGGCCTCCACATCACGTTTCAAGAGCCTCCAATGCACCGTTTCAAGGGCCTCCACAGCACCGTTTCAAAGACCTCTACAGCACTGCTTCAAAGGCCTCCTCAGCACCGTTTCAAGGGTCTCCACAGCTCTAGTTTTAGGAGCCTCAATGGCTCCGGTTTTAACGGCCTTCATGACTTTTGTTTTATTGTCTCTACAGCTCTTGTTTTAAAGGCTTCCACAGCTCTGGTTTTAAGAGATTTTTACAGTTTTGGTTTTAAGGGCCTCCACAGGTCTTATTCTGAGGTTCTTCGCTGCTCTGGTTTAAGGGCCTCTATAGTTCTTGTTTAAAGTCCTTTGCAGATCTGGCTTTAAGAGTCTCTATAGCTCTGGTTTTAAGGGTCTACACAGCTCTGGTTTTAAGAGTCTACACAGCTCTGGTTTTAAGGGTCTACAGAGCTCTGGTTTTAAGGGTCTACACAGCTCCGATTTTATTAAGGGTCTCTGCAGTTCTGATTTTAGGGTTTCACAGCTCTGGTTTTAAGAGTCTCAACAGCTCTGGTTTTAGGGCTTTACAGCTCTGGTTTTAAGAGTCTCTACAGCTTTGGTTTTAAGGGCCTCTATAGCTCTGGTGTTAAAGGCCTCCACGTCTCTGGTTTTAAAGGCTACTAGCACCTGAAGAACTGTAACAGTACTACCACCCAACCTCCAGAGAAAAGTAAGTAAATTAAGTAAAAGTAAGAAAAATGCAAGAAAAAGTAAAAGAAAGTATTCAAAAGTAAGTAAAAGTAATATAATTAATTAAATAAGTACAGTAAGAAGTAAATAAGTAAGTAAAGTATATTTATGCATAATAACACTGTTTTATATGATTATAATATTCTGATATACTAACATACTTGTACTTTACCAATGATAACCTGCAAAAATGAAATTAATCTAAATTAATTATTTCTACTGGGGGTCCACTAGTGTCGGATTCCAACTAGTGCCTCAAATTATTATTATTATTATTATTATTATTATTATTATTATATTATTATTATTATTATTATTATTATTAACATTATTCATTCA